GCGTGCCCGGCCGCCGCGTGCGCGTGCACCCCGCCAGCGCTCGTGACCGGCCGGCTGCGGCTCCGCGCACGTCGGGCTCGCGCCACCCGCACTGCCTGGAGCCCTCGTGACACGTGGACGTAGCGTCTACACCGGCTCCGTAGGTTCCTGGTTGGAGACTGAACACACAGCAGGTCACGGAGAAGGTGCACCTAGAAGCTTCTTTAAAAAAAGTGCTTGCGGGGCACCGCCCACTAAGACTGATACAGTGGGTCTGAAGTGGATTCTGGACATGTGCGTTGAAAATAAATAATGAAAACACAAGAACGGTGCAGAGGCACGGCTAGGGGTGAGAAGTATGCAGCTGTGCACTAGGATACCGTCGGAGGCGAGGTCCCCACGCAGCCCTCGGGCCCTGTGCCCCAGGAGACTCCAGGATGCGGACCTCCCTGCACAACACATGTGCGCCCATGTGCAAGCTCAAAACTTGTCTGTGTCTTCTGTATCTATGACAGCTGGAAACACAGACCCTCACGTCAGCATGCATGGTGCTGGCTGGGTCCCTGGCTCAATACCAGACGAACCGGATCGGTCACATGGTTTTTTTCCCCTAACGTTCTAACCACAGAGATCTGTCCCTCAGCCAATGGATAAGACACGTTCAAAGAGCTCGACATATAATAAACATCATGGATAAAATAAAAATTTAAGTTATTTTCGTATAATTTAAACATTTAAATTTAAAGTTATTTGGCATTACACATGCAAGACTTTTTCCATATTTCAGAGGCATTCAGTTTTCCATTGACAAGGCGTAAGTGGTTCTGTATTAAGACCATTTAGAATGTCAGTAAATATTGTTTCCCTTAGTATAGGTCTATCAAACGTAAATGGTCAGAAGTCTTGAGCAGACACTTAACAAATGAAGATATGCAAATGATAAGCACTTGAAAGGGTGTTCAACATCATCAGAGAAAAATCGTCAGAAATGCAAATTAAACCCACTTCAGACTCATGAGAATGGCTAAAATTGAAAAGATTGAAAGCCCCAAATGGCAACCACGGACATGGAACTATGGGAATTCTGATACATTACTGATGGGCATGTACGTGGTACAAACTGTTTCTTATAAAGTCTAAATATACCTACTTTATGATCTGGCAATTGTACCCCTAGATATATGCCTAAAATAACTGAAAACATATGTCGACAAAAAGGCTTGTAGAAGATCGTTTTCAGCATCATTAGTCATAAAAGCTTGTAACAACCTAAATTTCCATCAGTAAACGAAAGGATAAGCAATTGTGATCCACTTATACAATAATGCTGTCAGCAATAAGAGAAGGTATTGCTAATCCATGCAACGATATAAATAAATCTCAAAAACGATACTAGTATGTGGAACAAAACAAGCCAGACATAAAGTTTACATCCTTGTGATTCCATTGATACGAAATTCAAGAATAGACAAAAATAATCTGTGGTATAGAAATGAGAACAGTAGTTGCCTGGAGGGAGTGAACATGGACTATTGTGGGGCACAAGGGAACTTTCTAGGGTGACAGAAATGCTTTATCTTGATCATGGTGTTGGTTACGCAGATTTCACATTAGTCAAAACTCCTTTAATTAAGCCTTTAAGATCTGTGCGTTTCACTCTGTAAATTTTACCTCAATTTAAAAAAAATGACTTATACAAAAAAATAATAACGACGAATGTGTGTGTCCCCTGTTGCCTACAGGATAAAAGCCAGCTGCAGAGCACAGCATTGGACCAGGCTCATCGGGATCTGGTGAAAGCCAGCCAGCCTCAGAACCTGGTTCCCCCAACTCTGCCCATTGCTCCAGGCACGTGGAACTCTCCCCTCCCCACAGCTGCCTGCACTGTCCTCTCTTAACTGGATATTTCCACAACCACCACTTTTCTGACCCACCGAGGTGGGCAGTGATCTCCTAATTGCAAAAGCTGCCCCTTTCTGTCCTTATCTTACTTGACTCTGTTTCCTCCTTTTTTTTTCTTTCTTTTCTTTTTTTTTTTTTTGTCTTTTTCGTGACCGGTAAGGGGATCACAACCCTTGGTGTGGTGTCGTCCGCACCACACTCAGCCAGTGAGCGCACCGGCCATTCCTATATAGGATCTGAACCCGCGGCAGGAGCATCGCTGCGCTCCCAGCGCCACACTCTCCCGAGTGCACCATGGGGTCGACCCTGTTTCCTCTTTCTTGAGACACTGTCTTCCTTTGGTTTTCATCTTATGGCTTCTTTATGTTTTTCCTTTTTCCTACTCCTCCAGCTGTTTCTTCTCCATCTCATGCAGAATCCTTTTTTTTTTTTTCTGACTTTTTCATATTGATGTTTCCAGAGTTCTATCTTCAGATCTTGTTTTTCTTACTCTGTAAACATTCCCTGAGTAACTTCATTACAACTATAGATTTGACTACCATTTACATGCTAATGATGAAGAAAATCTATATGTCAAGCCCTGGTCTCTCTGCTGAGACCTGTCCTTAGGAGATGGCTCCAAGCCTATTTATCCAACTGCCCACCGGATGTCTGCTTTTGACTATCACTCAGGGTATAATTCTTGGTCTGCTCTTTTACAAATCTGACCTCAGTATCCTCATTCCCTCCATATCCTCCCCATCACCATTACTACCCACCAATCAACTTCTTCCCAGGAATTCTCTGTTTAGGAGAATGGCCATAATTCCCAAGTTGCCCAAGTGAGAACCCTAGGAGCCAATAGACCTCCTACTCTGTCCCTTGATTCTCGCATACGATCACTCTTCAAATCTATCCATGCAACTTTCTAATCTCTCTCTTAGTGACCTCTGTCCCCACTAATACCTTTGTTTTATTTTGTACTAAGGTAATAACAATAGCCTCCTCCCTGGCTCATGCCCCAGTCCAATACACACTCCGTATTGCTACCAGGATGACCTTCCTGAAATTAAACCATCGGCTACCCACAGCGCTCAGAATAATGTTTGAATTTCTTGGCATGTCAACCAAGGTGTCTCACGATGGGGCTCCCGCCTACTTCTCCAGCCTTGCCCTCTTGATAAGCCCCATATACAAGGGTACTTCGAAAAGATCATGGAAAAGGAGAATTAAAAGATAATACAAATCTTTCCATGAACTTATTGAGGTACGCTCATCAATGCTAACTTTGAAGTCCCCAGGACATGTCATGTGCTCTCACTTCTCTTTGTCTTTTCAAAAGCTCTTCCCCCTTCTGGAAAACCCTCACCCCATCTCCACCTGACTAGTTATTTTCCTTTTAAGACACAGTCCAAATGTAATCTCCCAGAAAGTCATTTCTTAATACCCCACTCCCACCGCCAACACCCCACCTAAGTTAGGTGACCCTCTTCCACGTTCTGCAAACATGCTCTCCTGTCACTAATACTGCAGTCATCACACTGTGTTGGAGCTGTAGGCTACTTCTCTGCCCTCTCCCTGGTCCCTTTCTCCTTCCCCAACCCGTGAGTAATTTGAGGGCTTGACAGGGGTTATGGGGTTATGTCTGTTGTTACACTAATGCCAGTACCCCTACCTCTAGCTATATCACACCCAGGAATTGCTCACTGAGTGAATAACTGTTTCCTCCATGAGGCCCCAAATTACAAGGCATCTCTAAGAAGCCATTCCCAATATCCAAAGTAATTTCCTTCTACTTCTGTATTCCCCAAACTTTTCATTGTAGTGACAGTAATGGCTAATAGTCACTTATCACACTTATGATAAGCCAGACATGGTAATATCTTTATATTACTGCGTTTAATCCTCTAAGCAACTCATAAATGAAGAGCTGTTGCATTTCCCACTTTACAGGTGAGGAAACCAAAGATGGGAGAGGTAACTTGCTCCAATGTCGCATGATAAAAAAGCAGCAAGATGTCCGACTCACTTTGCTGCATGAACTCCAACACATCAAGAAAGGAAAACACACTATTTCTATGTCCAGTTTACTGCCTATGGAATCTCTGTACTCCCAGCATCTAGCACTGATGGAGTTTGGATGTGTTGTCCCCTCCAAAACTCATGGAAATTTGATCCCCAATGTGGCAGTGTTGGAAACTGATTGAGTCATGGGGGTGGATCCCTCATGAATGGATTAATGCTCTCTCTGGGGGAGGAGGGATTAATGAGTGAGTTCTCGCTCTACTAGTTCCTGCGAGAGCTTGTTGCTTAAAAAGACCCTGGCACCTTCTCTCTCTCTCTTGCTTCCTCTCGCCATGTGATCTGCTTGTACCTGCCGGCTGCTGTCACTTTTCGTCATGAGTAGAAGCAGCCTGAGGCCCATGCCAGATGCAGCTGTCCCAGAATCGTAAGCCAAATAAACCTCTTTCCTTTACAGATTACCCAGTTTCAGGTAATTCTGTTATAGCAACACGAAACGGACTAAAACAGGCACGTAGTAAGTACTCAGTAGATTATTGTTGGATGAATGAATAAATATGTATATTTCTGCAGCAGCTTATGAGCTCCTTAAGAATTGGGACTGTGCTTTAATTCATCTTGTATCCTAAACACTGAACATAGTACCAGAAGCCTGATCGTTATTGAACAAGTACTTGAAACTGGCTGAATACAAATTCAGTATTTCATCGCGATAGTATTATAAGTTGACCAGCTGGAAAATTTCCAGTGACGTAGTCATGCTTGAAACATGAGCATTCGTGAGCTGAAATCCTCATCGCCTCGTTTGGCATGAAACAATGACCTGCTTTGATAGATGGGGGAGACCCGCTGTGGGAATAGCCACCTCCTCATCCTCACTGACATGAATAGGGAATAGGGGTTAGAACAGTTTGCTTCCCCTACTCCCTGCAATTTTCTTGCTTCATCCATAAACAAATCTGGGTTGTGACTAGCTGTCATTTTAACATCAAAAACAGGTGCCAGTATGGACAAGTGTCAGCATTTGCCTGCCTTCTGTTTAGCTACTTTGCACTGGCTCGTGTATCCCTTACACCCAAAGTCTGCCCCATCCCGTTTCCTCTGACAACAAATACGCACAGTTTTGAGAAAGAAGTGGTGGACACATGAGTGTCCAGCAGTGGCCTCTGAGGAGTCATTTTCTGGTATGATATCTGTCCTCCACCTCTGGCTCCCATAGCTGAACAATCACCCTGCTTGGGCTCTGATGACACTGGTTCCAACATACCTCAAATGCATGGGTGTTAGCTGTCTACACCGTGTATTTTTAGATTTTTCCATGAGATCTCTAAAGATGGATAACCTTGGTTCCTTTTTGCCTTAGTCCCTTTTGTGTTGCTATAAGAGAATACCTGAGACTGGGTAATTTATTTATTTATTTATATTTTTTTTTAAAAAAGAAAGATGACCGGTAAGGGGATCTTAACCCTTGACTTGGTGTTGTCAGCACCACGC